AACAAACAGCGCAGGAATTATGAGTGACTATGCAAACACTCGGTTCATCTTGACAACAGGCCGACAGAAGCTGCCAATCGCACGTTTCTTTCAGTGGGTCAATCGATCGAGCGTGGGAGAGATTAAGAACCTGGTGTTAACGAACTGCAGGTCTGGTCTGCTTTAGCAAGTTCTTGCTTTCGACCGCTTTCACGTTATATCAGCGACATTTACACTTTGAATAAGTCACTCAGCTTATCTCGTTCTAAACACGATTCTCAGGCCTCAAGATAGAGGAAATCATGTATATAACGTTTTTTCATGAATTAATTAATGAGGACTGAAAAACTCAGTGGTTCTCGGGTTTCGTCCAAGATTTCCAGTAGAAGCACACTTTACGTAACTCGTCCATGATGAATCAGCAACCGTCATAGATTTCAGCAGCAAGCCCAGTATCGAAAAGCCTATGGCACATTTGGAAATGTACTTCTCTGAGAGAGTTGGTCACGAAATATTACGGTTCTATAAATTTGTCGTAAGCACTCTCACAAGTCGCACTGTCAGTCAAGTTTCATCTCCCATCGGTGGAACACATGGTCGTTTTTGGCCACTGCTCTATGTCTTTCATGATAAAGGTAATATGACTCAAAAATACCACTTTCTAAGGCACATGAATGAAGTGCACGTCAGCACTGAGAAGAAACCACAATACGCGCAATAAATTACCTGGACTTCTCTACGTTGCTGACCACATCAGACGACATTTTAACTTCATCATGTAATGAAAGGGTTTCAACTAATGTAAAAATCCCTCATCGACGGCTCTGCCAATTACACACTATTCGTTACAGACGTTTTAAACTAAAAAGAAATTTAAGCACGTCATATATTCATCTTGCTGCACCGGCTTCACCGACTATTTCATCAAAATGTGAACCTGTTTGTTTCTAAGGCTTGGAATCTCGTTGGAAAGGAATTTATATCGCTCAGGTTATAAAATCTTTCGACCTCTCGCAGACATGTTTCATATGTACAGTATTAGCATAGATTACTAGCGCGGTCAGAACGTCGATCGAGTCCAATGGTTTGACGATTTGTTCGTCTAGGTCGTGACCTCATTTCGTTTGCGTGATCATGACTTACGCCGCCGCAATCGCCGTAGACAGCCCTTGGCTCTACACGATCAGCAGACACTTGATTTGCAAATAAAGGCAAAGCAAATATAATTCCGGTTGGTTTCGCGTCGTGTTGTATATATGTACTGAACTACGTTTTCGACCGTGATAAGATCATTCGCCATCAACTGCACCACCGGTCACACTTTACGACAGGCCGTTACAGATTGAAAAGGACTGAGGTGAATGAAAGCCCTGAGGTGCGTCACATCGCGATTTGCGGCTTCCAGTACCGCTTGCTCTAGTGAAAACCTATTTAATGGCACAGTATGCCGCAATTCAATTCCTTACTTCAGGTGTTGTCCATCCTCTCAAAATGTAAATAACCTATGCTTAACAATAATGAGTCATACCTCAACGATAGCAACATTAAAACTTATTACAAAAGTACTGTGAGCGTCAGATGCCATGGTATTTTTTTCGGGCCACGTGTATGAAAAACGCTACTTGAAAGGTGAACGTCGTTAAATGCCATGGTCAAAAACGTGATTTGACATTGTGTCTCGAAATGTTTCTTTTAAGTCCCACGGCTATCATACCACTGGAAAATTCTAAGTGTCATTTAAAAAAAAAACAACGTCTGAGTGAAAAAGTCAGCTTGACAAACGAAAGGATGATCAGAGTGTCGCGTCTGCTGGGGCAATGAATTTCTCGTAACGAAAGAGGCACTAGAAACTGTTCCAATCCGTCACGACACGTTCATCGTTCCTAAACCGCGCGAAATAATATAAAAAAAATTTTCTACAGAGGAGGACGTGAACACAGAGAAAATACCCTCGTTGAGCGAATAGCCTTTGCGATCGATCGTGGCAGAATTACGACCCGTCGTTTAGACCAGGCTTGCAGGGAGGAGGAGGCCACAGTGGACAGTGGTCAGTGGAATGTGATCACTAGAGAGCGCTGTGTGGAGTTAGAGTCCGAACCGACGGACGGGTCGAACAATCGATCGGCTAGCATCCATTGTGTGTCGTGGCCTATTTGAGCTGACTGACATCTGGTCTGTTGGCCAACCAGCCAAGAGGACCGTATCGCTCGGTCGTTGTTATTAGCTCAGCTCAGTCAGGACGACGACCGCGGTAGTAACATGGCGACCATGGCGACATCGACGTACGATTAATTATTGCCAGCACCAGGCGCTGCACTCCACTCCACTGCACTTCACTGTGACGGCCGAGTGTGTCTCTGTGTGCGCTAGCAGTTCAGTGTCAATCGTCGACGACCGGCGTGTGCTTTTAGCCCTGCGTCCAGTTGCTGTTGTTGCATAGAGCGCGAATACGACGACGACGACAATGATCGAAGAAAAGGTGGAAATGGCAGACGTCCCGCTTACCACTGCCGTCGACGGCGAACACATGACAGAGGTATTAAAGAGGAATACGGTCGAGTTTGTTAATATTTATTTCACTTTACTATTACACTATTAGTAAAATTAACACTCCATCGTATTTGGTGTTTAGCAAAACGTATTGCGATTAAGTGAGACCCACTAAGTTCTAGTCTAAGAAATTAATTAATAAAAGTTGCTACAATTAAATTAATTTTTTTAAATTTGTTGAAAACACTGTTTCGTAATCAGTTTGATTTAGAATACCGAAGAGAAAGAGAAAAAAGGTATGACGGGCGCCAAGCATCGGTTCTCGTTGGCCAATCCGTTCACTCGCAAGCATGTGTCAGCCGTGACAAAGACCGAAGAAGAGGCGACAAAACAAGAAGCAAAGAGTTGCGAAAAAACAAACAAACAGCCTCGTCATTGGTTCACCTTCCACAACAAACACTACGACCAAATGGACAATGCCGAAACGAAAGAGGAGACGACCACTGTGGCGCTAAACCTGATGGATCGCGACGAAAAGAACATCAATGACCATGTCAAGGTAAGTCAAATCACTTTTGCCCTTTTCCCTGAGGCATTTTCAACACCTGAAGCCTCTCGGTCAATTTTTCGTCGTCTCACAGTGGCGTTGAATTTCAGCTATCTTTCGAAGACGTGCTGGCCGAACCGGACAGCTCCCATTCGTTGGACTGCACTTGGCGCCTGACGCACCGCGTGTTTACGAACGTGCAAAAGGTCGTATATCGATTTCTGGCCCTCATACTTGCCTTACCGTGTGCAATTGTTTGGGCAGTAATCCTCGCCGTACTGACCTCTATCTACATCTGGATTTGCACACCGCTTCTTGCGGTGCTTAGCATGCCGTTCAACTGCCTCTTCAAAGTAAGCTGCGTGTCTGGTCTTGACAATATTTTCTCCGAGCATTTGCCTTAGTCGAAATTTAACATATTTAATTTTAGTTTCATGATGTAACAAACGACAGAAAAGAGTGTAATAGGTTGACGCGATTAACAAACCCCTGTTAAAGTAAACGTGCTGGGGAAAAATTTATTTTAATAATTTCAATTTTTTGTACTTCAGCTAGAAAATTTCCCCTTGTGTTTATTGTCACTTATTTTGATCGCCCTCATGATCATACTGTTTTCAGGTATGGAGTTTCTTGGTGCGGTCTACGTTGGACCCTTTGTTCCACTCCGCGGGTCTGTGTGTGAATTCGATCCAGATCAGAAGAACCAACGTATGCCTGAACCCTCAGGTATGCCCGTAGTAACGGGACATTTCGGCGGCGTCGTCGTGCGGTTCTTTGCTCGTTTTTCCGTCATGACTGGTCTGTAACTATAAACTATATGTTTGTTGATGGTCGATCGAAATCTGCTTGTGGTCGACTGCTGCTCGCGTTACAGTTTCTTGCCTGACGACGACTTATCTTCAAGCTGCTACCATTAGCCATTGCGATTATAAACTAACGACTTAGATTGAAATCGATGTTAAAAAATACACCATGCGTTGT